GATCTCTGCCAGCGAACGAAGGGAGGTCAGCCACGAACAGGACTTCTCCAGTCACTTCCAATACCTAATAGTCCTTGGCAGGATATCTCAATGGATTTTATTGTTGGATTGCCCCTTACTTCTCGTGGCTTCGACGCAATTTACACCTTTGTGGACCGACTTACGAAATGCGTACATCATGTTTCAACAAACTCGAAGATTGATGCTAAGGGCAGCGCTCAACTGTACATTCAAAACGTGTTTCGTCTGCACGGGCTGAGCTCGACCATTGTTTCCGATCGCGATCCACGATTCACTGCAGCTTTTTTCAAAGAAGTATTCTCTCAGCTAGGAACTAAATTGGCATTCAGCACTGCTAACCACCCTCAAACGGATGGTTTGACAGAGAGAGTTAACCGGCAAGTGGGAGATGTTCTAAGAGCATTTGTGAACTTGAGACAGGACAATTGGGATTCGCTTCTACCACTCTGCGAGTTTGCAATAAATAGTTCACAACAGTCATCTGTAGCTAATACGACGTTCTATCTGAACTATGGGTTTGACCCTAAGTCCCCACCCGAATTCATTCTTACGGGAGGGGAAAGGAGTGATTCGGTCGATTGGCTTCATGAGCAGGAAGCCGCACTAAGGATAGCTCGAGATGCAATGCTCGACGCCCAGGCAAGGCAAGCTCTATACGCAGACCAGATGAGAACGCCCAGTGATTTGAAGGTTGGTGATAGCGTTCTTGTCTACAGAGACTTTCTACTGACCCCGGAAGCTCGTGGCCAGCCCTCTCGGAAGTTGCAACCCAAGTGGTTTGGTCCGTATCGTATCCAGGCTAAGATTGGAGCGAATGCTTTTCGCTTGGAACTACCCCGTGAACTTCGCTGCCATCCCGTGTTTAATGTCACTGCTCTTAAACGCTACGAAGAGAACACGATTCCTGGAAGACATCAACCCCCGCCTCCGCCCTTCACAGATCTAGATGGACACACACGCTATGTTGTCGAAGCCGTTTTGAATCACCGACACCGCAGTGGTGAGCAACACTTTCTGGTGCATTGGAAGGGTTACCCCAGCAGCGAAGCTACGTGGGAGCCCGCTGGCAACCTATGTGATGAGTCTGGTCGGAATATTAAACCGCTGCAGAACTATCTAGCCTCACAACGACAGCAGTCTTGATCTAACTGGGCTAAGCCATATGCATCTCTTACTGAGATAGTTAATAATATGTTATAGACTGATATGGGCCGCGATCAGCTAAAACATGTCTTTGGGGTTTCGTAAAAAAGTTGGGAAATGACGAAATGAAAAAAATGTTTTTTTGGAGCGCGTTCACTCTGCACTTCACTCAAATGATTCATGATGTGGCAATCATCTTCTCAAATTTTTGTTCAAACACTTGTTTGACGTTCTACTTCAAGTAGCTGGCGAGCAAAGACTTACAATGTCCGCATCTAGTGATACTAGAGTAGCTCGCACGGCCAGACGATCGCTGTGCATGGCCCAGGTTTGTTCAGGTGTCTGCAAGTCCGTGGCGGCGGGTCTGCAGAGCGACGCTGACAATTTGTAGGGATCTCATTGATGTTGATGTCGACAGCAAAGCTGATTCGTCCCCGTCGTCTCCAGTAGCGAAGAGGCACAAGTTGTGGGCTAGTACATAATCATTTAGGCGGCGAACCGGCTGCATTACGACGTTACTTGCGTTCAGCTCTCATGAGGCGTCTGACGCAGTCTCGGAAACGCAGGCGACGATCGAAAGTGTCACTGCCAGAATCGAAAGAGTATGCAAGTGCAACGCCGCCCAGCGCATCGTGTTGCTTTCCAGGAAGAACTTGGGCCATGCCTTTGAACTGATGTCGTTGACATGCTCAAGTCGATCTTTATTTCCGTTGTATTGTGCTCCGCCACAAAAGCCACTAAGTAATAGTTTGTCTCTTTGTGTCAGACTGTGCGAAAACTGTCATTTTCTATTTCAAATTACATATTTTGAAAGCGGTGTTTGGGGCACTTGTAGACTACTTTTCTGCCCTGTATCACCTTCAAGAGGTCAAGTAAGGTCCCAAGAACTGTTTTCTGGAGGAAAACAAAATTTGAAAATTTTCACCCTAAGACATGTCTTAGCTGGTTGTGGCCCATATAGTTTTGCGTCATCTTCTTGTGAGAGTGATGAAGTTGAGTTGGATTACACTTCAATGTGGTTATGCATGTGCATGAGTGATTATTTAATATTCCCCTTTCCACAATTGCATCTCCTAACTGGATTGTGTTATCTAATAGAACCTTGGGCTTCCTATGGGGCCAGGAGAGTGTAATAGTTTTACCTTGACACTTCTTGCTTGTCTTATGGTAACACCTTGTGTTCCTACTATTCTCACTCCTGCGGTTCTCGCCTTTCTTTTGCTTTATAACCTCTGGTTTGAACATCATTCGTTGAATTCTCCAATCAATCAAGTCTATACTGTTACAGGTAGTACCGGGTACGGCCATCACCAGCGGCTGCGGCCCTGTCCTGAGTACCAAAGTTGTGCTTAGTGCTGATGTAGTGCAAGATATTTAATCTGCATCACGGTTGCCGTTTGTTGTTGTTCAATTACTTGAAGTATTTCAGTATGGTCTTTACGCATGCCTTTACGCATGTAAGTGTGTGCTTTTCAGCAGGATCGTCGAAAGACTACATTGTGCGTGGCCTAAACCTGCAGTAACACTAGTAATACAAAAAACCCATGCCTTTGTGTCTACACGTAAGGCCTCAGACAGATTGGGAATCTTGCGTCTCTAACGTTTTAAAAAATCTCTACACAATGTCCTGTTTCTACATACATTTCGAAAGCATGATTTTCAAAAAATGTTGATTGGATGCATGTCTTATTTGTACTTGCTGACATCCAAAGCGTGCACGGATCCCTCCTATGGCGGACGAAACCGGGGTATTCGTTAGACATTGAGGCAGAAGAACACACCTCCACTCGTCCTGCATATATCAGCAAACACTTTCAATTGACGTCCAAGTACGCCACGCAAATCAACTTGGGCACGAAAACGATAATCTGGGCGGCAATGGAAATATAACTACGACGTAGGAAAAGCACAAACCTTTCAATTAAAATTGGCGTGAAGGCTGCCAAAAATTCTGCACCCCTTAGGAGGAAGCCTCGAATGTGAGCCAATTCTGATAAACGCCAATGGCCGGCACGATGAGGAAGAACGAATCGAAAAAGATCGTAACTTCACTTTCCCATTGTGCATTTTGACGCTTGCGCAGCTTGAAGGCAGGAAGGTGAATTCGCTTAGACTTCGCGAATCCAGAGTAGAAAACGGCTGGAATCGACAGAAACATAGGCGAAACCTTGCCGAATATTTCCAGAGATTTGAAAAAGGCAGCAAGGTCGCATACGACAGCATCATGGATCACTGGGGCGACGGGAAAATGTTGTACCGTACATAATGTCGCTGGATTACGCATTCATAACAACCGTGTATGGCTAATCTCCACATGATTTCTCGCAAAATCCCAAAAAACGTCCGCAGTTCGGATTTGTGTAGCAGCTTTGGTTCGGCATGCTGCATTAGTCTTGTACATTTACCTGACTACAGTTGCTACACATTGAAGTGCTAAATGTGTTGCATGTCTACTACACACAAAATTATGTACCGGTACAATTCGTTTTAGCTAAACTGTTACACACATCCATGGAAACCAAGGAGCCGTGCGCGAATTAAACAGACAACGGTGAGCATTCTCGCTGTGCCCCAGGGTCTAGCGATAGTGTCAATGGCGATACTAAAGTAGACACTGATTCATTGATGAAATTGGACGAGGTTTTAGGAGAAACTATGAACAGAAACAGCTAGTTACACATATCTTCAATTATTGAGTCCAATCCAGCGGGCTCAAAAAGAACTAGATCCTTCATAGCATAAAAACGTCGCTCCTGGACTCACACGTCTCTGGATGAGAATTGTCAGATGACATATGACGCAGGTACTTTGCATTTAGATTGTGGAGCTTCTGCTTACATAACTGCTTGATGTTCTTTCTCTTCTTATTGTTAGGTTCCTCCGCCCGTGGTACGTCATTCTCACCTACGTCATTCTCACCTTTCGTTCCATTGGCCTGGGTAGCTACTTGCGCACCCATGTTTGCCATAGGGACCCTGGCCCTATATATTGCGTCAACTCTCTTCAGATCTCTCTCTCTCTCAACTCTCTTCAAAATATCTCTCTCTTTCATAATGTAGTCATTTAGTTCCTCTTTCTCTCCGTCTCTCCGTCTATGATAAATGTCTTCCCACTACTAGTACCTGTCCCAAGTTGTTCCTTTGTGTCTGGGATGGTGACTCCTTGTGTGCCTCAACATTATCATTACGTCCTATATTTTTTAACATATGACCTCAGATGGTGAGCCAAGGAATATTTTTGTCACATGGAAATTGTGGGTACAAGTTATGCGATCGAGTCCACCAACTAATCCGTTGGTTAGCCCTATTGTGCAGTGTTCAAGCTGACTTTCATGCCATGTCCCAGTACTCCCTGTCAGTTTTGTGCTAGATTGTGTACGTCTGACTGTTCAAAATCTTGTTTAGTTGGGCAACTTGATCGCATAACTTGTGCACACAATTTCCATGCTACACATTTTACGATAATACATTTACAATGGAAAGTGTTTTACATGATTATCGTAATTTTGCGTACAAACGCCGGGCTTATTCCTGTAGAAGCCGATGTCAGAGTTTGGCTTCTATTCAAATCAGACTTCTATTCAAAATTATTATTTCTACGTATGTCAACACTAAAACAAGGCTGATGTGTCGATCATAATAATTATTGTCTTCAAAATCACGTTCGTATTCAATTCAAACCAGGCTTATGAGGCAGGCTTTTACACACGACAAAACAATTTCCCGAAAAGAAAGGCAAATCCAGGAATTGTGCCCTGATGACCCTGGAAGAGCACTGTCAGCACTTTGCTGGCATGGTCTGAGTGGAGTACGTACAAGTCGAATACCACTACTCACCTAGGCAATTGTAGTTGTACAGATAACCGGTACACAAATCGCATTTGTCCAGGTCGGAAATGATGCTACAGTTTTGCCGGCATTTGGCCTCAGTCAAACCTATGTGAAAGAAGACAAAACCATCAGTTGTTATCTCGTTTGGGTGAAACTCAATTCTCTGTTCTTTCTCGTGCTAGTTATGTAAGGCAGTTGAATGTTCTAGAAGCTGCCCGAATCTGTTTATATAAGCCTGATCTTTTAAACAGAAGAAGCCAGATGTTGATCTGAAATTGTTTTCGTAGGTCTGCAGATCACTCATCAACACCAGTATCACTTGGAATAACTGATAGTTTTGGAATTTCGGAACCCTGACGCAACACACTTTCTAGTTCTTCAAAAACAGTTCTAAGTTTTAAAATTCATTATCTAACCGGTTTCTGCTCTGTAGAGCTTCATCAGAGATATGAATGTGAATAAAATTAGAACTGTGGTTTTGTACCAGTAACAAAGCAAAAATGAAACTATGCAATGCAGTTGATACAATGTAAACTTTGTACAAGTGCAGCTGAATCATAATGAATTTCAAAACTGAGAACAGTTTTTGAAGAACTAGAAAGTGTGTTGTGTCGGGGTTCCGAAATTCCAAAAATATGTTTTACATGTTCATGATGTAGATCAGGTTGCAACTATACTAGGAACAAAAGGGGGGAGGTTTTGTCTGACTAAGACTTTACGGTCTTTCAAAAACAACATTGGTTTGCTGGTTGTGTTTTTATTTGAATTCGCAAAACCTAACGGACTGACATGTCCGATGACAAGGAAGTGAATGAGGTACAAGGAACCCAGACATGGGAAAACGTGGAAAGAGAAACAGATGAAAAGAAAATATGCAAAAGAAAAGGAGAAAAAAGGAAAGGTAAATCGTGTTCACGGCTCTTAGCAAATGAAAAAGGAAAGGAGAAAGGGGAAAACGAGAAGATAAATCGTGGTCACAGCCAAAGCCCAAATAGTGGCAGGACACATTATACACGTACCTGGGCTTACATACTAAAACAACAGGAACAAGCATGCATGAAGCGTGGGCCATGCCTCGCAGAAGCGGGAGACACCAACAGGAAGAGAGAAGAGAAGAGAGAGAAGTCGAAGCCACACACACACACACACACACACACACACACACACACACACACACACACACACACACACACACACACACATACACACACACACATGCATACATACATACATACATACACACATACACACTTACCCACACACATACACACACATACACACACATACACACACATACACACACACACACACACGCCCACACACACACACACACACACAAATTCACACACATTCATGCACATCCTCACACTCAGACACATTCGCACACGAGTACACACACACACACACAAACACACACATGTACACTGACAGCCACACATACAATTGCTTTTCAATGTACTCAGTTCATAGTAGAAACGGGATAGCTGCCCCACAGAACTGAAAAGGAATGGAGATGGAGCGAATACTGTTATTTTTGTAGGCAGGTTGTCCTAGCATAGCGCACCCTAACATGACCGATCCCCTTTCACGCAGCTCGCATCTTTTACGTGATTAGGAAATAGGCGAAACATCCCCTTCTTCTAGTGTATATGTGAATGCTATAGAACGTAAATTGGAGATGAAACCAACCATAGCGATGCACGAGTGTGACAGAGGTCTTGCTCCTAGAGACTGAAAACTCGCACCATGACCATCTGCGCGACCACTACTGAATGAATGAAACATGGGGCTACGAACATAGCCAAGTGGCGGTCTATTACAGAAAGTTCAAGTTCTGTTTGGTGTATATTCTCTTATACCTCTCTCCATATACACCCGCACTCATATACCAGATCTCCCATGAAGTTTATAAATTTCCATATACACTGTTCAATATACACCACTAAGGAGGTATATACACCACTGAGGAAAACCATCAGAAAAAAACTCACTGAGGAGCTTTCTTTCTCTAAGAAGGAGTGTATATAGCTTTCTCTCTAAAGCTATATTCACTCCTTTTTAGGGAAAGAAAGCTATATTCACTCCTTTTTAGGGAAAGAAAGCTATATTCACTCCTTTTTAGGGAAAGAAAGCTATATTCACTCCTTTTTGCTCTTGTAAGTCTTGAGCTTGCTCATCGAGAGGTATAAATATATTATAACAAGGGACCTCGTGTATATCGAGAAATATCGACCAGTTATTAAAACCTCGGCTTCGCCTCGCTTTTTATACTGGTCTATATTTCTCGATATAAACTCGGTCCCTTGTTATAATGTATACATACAATCATAGAGATCTGATAAAGAGAAATCAAAGTTTACCTCGGCGTTGGAAATAGTCACGATGCTAATGAAGATTGCATTGCAGGGGTGGGCGCAGTCGGACTGTAGATCTGCTGAGCAATGTGTAGAACTCTGCCGAATCGCAGAGCTGGACAACAAAAGTTGCTATTGTTCACCGGGCGATGCATCCACGGCTTTGCGGGGAGCCTGCTCAGTTACGCACTGATTTCAAAGTCACCAGGTTGCCGTATCCGCTTGTAGAAGGACATCGAAGCGCACGTACCACCCGCTGCAAGCGGCGCTGGTCAGGCTAGGTTCTCTGTTGCCACTACCCAGCGATATTTGTACCATCCCCAAATGCAGTGTTTTCAAGAGGTCAGTCATCTGCATACACTTGCTCCATGAAACGTATCAGTCATTATTCCATTAATTTTGTTGTCATCATTGCCACACCCGCACGACCACGCCTCCTACACACAGTCACTTTTGCTGTCACATCCACTCATAGTCTAGTTAGTCAACGTCCACTGATGTTGACGGAGGTAGCTCTCTTGCTATGGTGCTGCTGTGTGATAGTTGCATGGATCCAGCTAATGCCTCTGCTAAAGTCAGGGAATTCAGAATAGGAAAACGGCTGTACCACCCCGCTCTTTTCTTTTCCATTTTTTCGCCTATATTTCATTATCTTTAGCCCTTAATTTCAATCATAATTGTTTTCTTATCCTTCGCTTTCTTGTTATTGCCCGTTAGAATTTGAAAAGTAAATTAAACAAAAACAACAACAATAACAACAACAACAACAACAACAAATTTCAAAAGCTTGCCGGGAGTAAGAAGCAAGTTTTGAAGCTCTGAGTGTCGTGACCACGTCCCCACCCTAGAAGCATATAAGCACCGCTATTCTAACTAGTATTACCTATCTAGCATGGATGACTTTCCAGCGCCAGGCAGCCCAAAGCCTGAGCCCCCAGAGCCACTGTGGAGGCCGATGTCGCCGGCCGAATTGAAGGCCAATACCGTAATATTTGTCGACGGCCTCGCAGGCCAGAAGATAGTAGAAATTGCGGACACCCTCATCGACCAGGGTTATGCTGACATCGCCTCCGTCCAAATTACCGGATCAGCCTGGAAGGTAACGTTCTGCAGCCAATCTACAACTAAGTCCATTGCAGAACACGGTTTCTTTCTTGGCGAAACACATATCTCTGTCCGCCATTCTCTCTCCTTGCAAGTGCACATCTTTGACGTCCCGATTTGGATCTCCGATGCCGCCATCATACATGCACTCACAAAATACGGTACGGTGCAAGGCACCATTCGCCAAAGTCGCCAAAGTCAAAGTCCTCACTTGCGCCCGCAAACACTGTGCAGTACCTCACTCCCCGAGGCATACTAGCCACCCCGCAAAGCCATGGCTGAACCCAGAGCTCACTAACGCCATCAGAGAAAAACACCGGCTCTACCGTGCCTACTTGCGCACCCGGACGCCCTGCAACTGGACAGCATACACCACCCAACGCAACAAAGTTACTCACCTTCTCCGAATCGCTAAGTCTACATATGTCAGTAACGGCACTGGGACGAGCCACTGCACACCAAACCTACACAAACTGATGCGCGGCCTCCAGTCCTCACAACGACCTACTCTGCCAGACATGCTCTCCCAGGGCCAGACTCTCTCAACCCCCGCTGAAAAAGCAACTGCCCTGAACGCTTTCTTCATCTCTCAGAGCCAACAGTCAGTCACAGGGTGCCACGAGGAACTTCCCTCCATTCATTCCCCCACATCCAATACACCTGGCCTCACTACACTTGAAACAACAGCCCAAGAGGTCTCAAAGTTACTGTCTAACCTGGACCCGTCAAAGAGCCCGGGCTGTGATGGCATACCAACCCGCCTACTGAAAGAGGCAGCCAGTTCACTTGCGCCGTCCCTAGCAACCCTTTTTAACATCTCCTTCGAACGTTGCACTATCCCGCAAGAGTGGAGGGACGCAACAGTCACCCCCATCCACAAGAAGGGCAGCAAAACCGAGCCCTCCAACTATCGACCGATATCGCTACTCAGCGTGACGTCGAAAGTACAAGAGAGGATAGTTGCTGACCGTATCTCGAAGCACATCCAACCTCACCTCCCCAACGGCCAATCAGGCTTTCGGCCAAACGATGGCACCACCCAGCAGCTATCTCGGTTAATCCATCAGATCACCGAGAAAAGAGACGCCGGGCAAACAGTAATTGCTTGCTTCTTCGACCTATCTAAGGCATTTGACCGGGTGTGGCACCAAGGACTGCTTGCAAAATTGGACCACCTCGGACTCGATGGCAAATGCCTCCAGTGGCTTGCCTCTTATCTCACCAACAGGACAACGTGTGAAAGTGGAGAGCAGCAAATCAACCTGGCTAAACATTCCAGCGGGGGTCCCCCAAGGCTCTGTCTTGGGGCCGCTTTTGTTCACGGCCTACACAGTTGATCTGCAAACCGCCTGGATAAATGCCAACACTGAGTGCAGCCAGTTTGCCGACGACACTGCCATCATTGCCGCTCACGAGAATTTTCTAGCCGCAGAAGAGCACCTCCAGTCAGCTGTTACAACCGCGGCACAGTGGCTGAAGGATTGGCATCTCCTGGTCAACGAAAGTAAGACCACTGTCATCCACTTTCACCACACCAACCGGCCACCTCCCAGACCACCATCAATCACACTCAACGATACCAACCTCACTGTGGCCTCAAGGCATCGCCACCTTGGCCTCCTCATACAGCA